GCTAAAATATAGTTACCTAAAATGTCCAGTTTTCAACAAAATTTATGAGGCATACAAAGAAACTGGAAAGCATGATGCATACACAAGAAAAAAGTCAAGAAAAACTTCCTTTGAGATGTATCAGATGTCAGACTAAGCAGACAAAGACTTCAAAGCAGCTAATACAAATATGTTCAAAGGACTAAAGAAACCACGTTTAAAAAAGTAAAAGGAGGTATGATAACTGTGTCTCATCAAATAGAGAATATCAATAAAGATGAAGATATCATATTTCACAAAGAGTCAGAGGAAAACTCTGAAGATGAAAAGTACAATAATCAAGATTAGAAAATTTACAAAGGGGGCTGAAATTGCCTACTGGATCTAGTAGAATTGGCAAACTTAAAGGGATGTTAATGATGCAGTCTGAAGAACAGAGAAGAAAAATGAAGAAGGAAAACGAACAGGGCCTCAGAGGAATGAAAGGACACCATTAGGTGCACCAACATATGCACAATGGAAGTACCAAAAGGAGAGAAGAATTAAAAAGAGCAGAGAATATATTTGAAGAAATAATGACTGAAAATTTTCCAAAATCAGTGAAACATATTAATTTACCCATCCAAGAAGCTTAGTGAACTCCAAGCCAAGTAGACACAAAGAGAGGCACATCAAATATGACACAGTAAAGATATTGAAAAACAAATACAAAGAGAAAATCCCCAAAAACACCAAGAGAAAAATGACCACATCCATGGAACCCAATGAGATAAAAGCTGACATCTATTATCTACTTAGAAGTCAGAAGGCAGTGTGATGATATATTCAAAGTGCTGAAAATAAAAACTGTGCATCAATAATTTTTCAATAAGCAAATCTATCATTCAAAAAGGAAGGCAAAATAAAGACACTCCTAGATTAAAAAAAAAAAAAATGAGAGGACTTCTTGCTAGCAGATCTACTTTACAAGACATACTAAAGGAAGTTCTTCAGGCTGAAATCAAGTAACACCAGACATTAATACAAATCAACACAAAACAATCAAGAGTACTGATAAAGGTAATTATGCAGATAATTATAAAATACGCTATAATTGCTTATGTCTTCACTTTTCTTATTTTAACTGATTTAAAAGCAATCGTATAAACCAAGGTATATATAATTATATTATTGACCTGTAATATATAGACGTGTAACATATTTGACGATAAGGGGACAAATAAGAGAGGTGGAAGCAAAGCAAAGCTGTTTTAGAGTTAGGAAATGACACAAGATGATAAGTCAAATCCACAGGAAGAAATAAAGAGAACCAGAAATACTAAATGAGAAGGTTTATGTAACCAAGTCTATGAATATATAATTGCTCTATCTTCTCTCATATTATGTAAAAGACATAAAATTATTTAAGTTAATATAATAACAATATGTTGCAAGTTTGTTGCCTTTATAAATGGTATATGTGTAACAAATATAGCAGAAAAAGAGAAGAAATAGGTCATTTATAGTAGTACTGTCTTTATATTTCACTGGAAAGATAGGAATGTTCAATAGTAAAATGTAAAGTACATTCTGATAAGACATATACTGTAAGCCTTTGAATAACCACTAAGAAAACAATTCAAAAATAATGAAAAAATTGAGGAAATTAAAATGTTACCCTAGAAAACATTCACTGAATAAAAAAGAAAGCAGTAGGGAGGAACAGTTGAACAAAGACAACATGAGACATATAGAAAACAAAAAGTAAAACGGCAGATGTAAATCCAGACATAGCAATAGTAACGTTAAAGAAATCCAATCAAAGGCAGTAATCCAACAAAATACTCTATAAGAGACATTCTTAAGAGCCAAAGATATAAATAAGTTGAAAGTAAAGGGATGAAAATATATATAGCAATTCTAACAGAGCCGAAGTGGCCACACTAATATCAGATAAATTAGACTTTAAAACAAAAACATTACTGTAGATAAAGACAAATATTTTATAATAAAAAGGTCAATATGTTAGGAAGTTATGACAATTATATATTCATGTACAACAAAATCTCAAAATAAATGAAGCAAAACAAAGTACATAAAAGATTGAATTGAGAAATAGACAATTTAAAAATAATAGTTGTAGAATTTCAGCAGATAGAACAACTACGTGGAAGATCAACAAGAAAGAAAGAGTTGAACAACACTATAAACCAATAAGGTCCATAGTCCATAGAACACTTCATCCAACAACAACAGAATGCACATTCTTCCCAAGAATGTATTGAAGATTTTCCAGGACAAACTATATGCTATACCATAAAATAAGCCTCAATAAATTTAAGTAAATAAAATAACACAGAGCGTGTTTTCCAGTCATAATAAAGGTTGAAATCCAAAAAAGAAAATTTGGCAAATTTACAAATACGTAGAAATCAAACTCCACACTCTTAAATAACCAATATATCAAAGACACAACTATAGATAATAGAAAATAAAATAAATTAAAGGAAACACACAACATACCAAATATTTTGGGATGCAACAAAAGAATTGATTAAAGGAAAATTTATAACTATAAATGCCTATATTAAAAAGGAAAAATAATCTCAAATCAATAATCTACCCTTTTACCTTAAAACACTGGAAAAAGAAGAGCAGAGGATTATAATGGAATACTATGAAAAATGTGTGACAACCAATTAGTTAACTTAGATAAAACAAACAAATTCCTAAAAAGACATAACTACCAAAACAAATTCAAGAACAGCAAAAATTTGAATACATCTATAATAAATAAATAAAGTAAACTGGTAATTAAAACAACTTTCACAAAAAGCCCAGGCTCAGATGGCTTTCCCGGTAAATTCTACCAAACATATAAAGAATACATTTTTCGCAAACTCTTTCCAAACAGTACAATGGGAAAAAACATGTCCCACTACATTCTATAAGGCCACTACTTCTGTGATACCAAAACGAGACAGATATCACAAGAAAAACAAAGATACAACAATCTCTCCTACAAATATGAAATATTCTTGAAAAATACTAGCAAACCAAATTTAGCGATATATGAAAATAATTATACACCATGACTAAGTGGGATTTATCATAGGAATGCAAGATTGTGTTTCAACATACAAAAATAAATCAGTGTGGTAACACTCTATCCAGTAATGGACAAAAACCACAGGATCTTCTCCACAGAAAATCCAACATCCTTTTATAATAACACTTAAGCTAGAAACAGAAGGACATGTCCTCAACCTGATCAAGGATATCTAGAAAATACTCCTAGCTGACATACTTAACATACACATGAAACTAACATACTTGCTGCTGAAGGACTGAATGCTTTTTGCCTAATATCAGAACACAAGGATGTTCACTCTTGCCACTTTTATTCAGTATTGTACTAGAAGCTGTAGTCAGGGCAATAAAACAAGATAAAGAAATAAAAGGTATCTAGATTGAAGAAGAAGTAAAATTATCTTTATTCGCAGATGACATCACTGTGTATAAAGAAAATCCTAAGAAATCTACTGTTACAACTAATAAATTAGTTCAGCAAAGTTGCAGAATACAAGATCAATCCATACAAATAAAGGTAAAAAATAACGATTTATTTGGGCCCCAGATTTGGGTTCTCCTTACCAACAACTCTACCTGTCAAAGCCTCTTACTGTTGAGCTGGAATCTACTGCCCTATTAATGCCTCCTGGAGGAACACACATGACCTCATTCCTCTTTCATGGTATGGTAGTTCTTTAAATATGTAAAGATCGTTACAATTATCTCCCACTCTTTTCCTGGCTACCTTCTCCATTTTCCTTAGTTGACATGATTTAAACCCTTCTTTCTTTCCTATGATCCCTTCCTACTCCTAAGTAGATTGAAAATGATCTTTTACAGATAGAAATTTTAAAATAACTGTAATGTTTCAGTATCAAATAAAAATAAATCCTTTCATCTTGTTATTTTGTTTTGTAACCTTATGACTATATTAGGTTGTTTATAAATCACTCCCTGCTCTAAAGGAGTCATACTGAACTCATGCTAGGTGAATAAAACACCTATGTCTTTTCATGTAACATCACCACATTCTGTTTGAGTTTCTGGACCTAAGTTAAGATGTATAGATTTATCCAGGCTTTTATTCATTTCAGTCTGTAGTTCCAGTGTCTCTTGATCTCCTTTAAGTTCTCTAACAGAAAATGTCCTCTCTTCCTAATATAAGCGTAACTTCAATGTCATATGATGAAAATTATAAACAGAATAGTCTAAGAAAAGAGGTCTATGACAAACTATTAACTACTTCTCTTCAAAATCATACAATATAGTAATTACTGCTTGTCTTAGGTAGTAGATTTGATTCATATATTCCATTACCAATGAGTCACCTAAAAGTGCTATATTCATCTAGCTTACAATCCTTCATCTTACCATAAAAATATTGTTTTCATTATCTATGTAAAATCTCTAGTTAAAAATGTGAGAGTAAATTTTCTTCTAAGAAGCATGCTCTATATTGGAAATCATGGAAATGACATAAGAGCATGTGAAGAGAACTCTGGAAATAAAGGATAAAAGCAAGAATAAAAATATGAAAATGTATTCAATATAAATTTTACCAATAATAGACTCTCATTTGGAGGATGTTACAGACCTAGGAAGCTATTAGAACTGATGTCAGCAGAAGTGTATGAAAGTCACATGCTTGTGATCCGTTCCTTTGCCTTTTGACAAATATCTATTCATTTCCATGGACTAAATGGAAAGATGAAGAAACTGATAACATATTATGGAAGAAGAAATAGAATCTGTTTAAAATTATTGTTATACCTTTTAAACAAACCCAAAATTGGCAAAGATGCTTTTCCTCCAAAGATTATCTATGACCTTTGAAACAAAGTGCATATATGAAGCTTTGCATTTCTATTTACTTATGTTTATTGCAATATTCTGGTCAAAAAAAATAAATGAAGAGAAGCTATAATTTTTTTTCACAATGAAAGAAAATTAATCAAACAAATGTGAAATACCTGTGGGCATCTGACAGCACTGTAGCAATCTCCAGCTGTGGCAAATGGAACTGCATTTCCAAATATTGTTTTGGAAAAACGAAGGTCTGTAGCTAGAAAATAATAAATAGAAAATAGAAAATAATAAATGAAACTCTTTAGCATGGAGACAATAATGCAATCTTTGTCATCAAACACAGAGTTTTCATATTACTTACTTAGTAAACATACATATTTATATATTAATTTTAAAATTTTAAGCACAAATGCCACAATTCTAGTGTATAACATAGACTAGGCTCTCAATGAATAAATTTTGTTTAATACAAAAATATTCATATCATAAATTTCCCTAACAAATGGCAAGCATGTTAGTAATTAAATAGAAGATTTAAAACTAAATAAATGCATTATTACATTTGAAGTCACAGAATATCTGAAATAGATAAAGTGGGGTCAGAAGCAAAATCACTGGAGAAAAAAAGGTTATGTAAACATAAATGACAAAACAATAAAATTGAATGCTTATGGACAGCATATATAAAAATTCATTTAGGTAATTCATTTAGGTAATTCAAAATCTCTCCACAGAGAAAAATCTCTCCACAGGAAACCAGGAAGCTTCCCATGGTTTACCAGAGCCAGCTTGTAACAAATAGTGAGAGCCAACTGTGTGCATCTCTTCCCAAGCCCAGGTACAATGAGGTCATGTTGGTAGCTTATGATTGGTCATGGCGGGAATATATACACCATGTATATATTTGTGCCTAACACCACAAATCAGACTTTTTCTTCCCTGAATAACTGGTCGTTATTCATCTGCACACCACTATCTATTTGTGGCATTTGTGGGTTAGGCTGGGAAAGATCAGAGACACAACTTTCAAAGCATCTATTGTTACTATCTCCAAAAGCATGTCAATCAACAGCCAGTTTCATCAGCCAATTACACAATGATGACTCATAAGTATATATGCAGTTCACTTGACTCTGATGAGTTACAGAACATATATCAAACTCCTGTTGGGCATCATTACTTGGATGACCCACAGATATCTGTCATTTAACATGTTCAAAGCTAAATGAATTACCTTTTTCTCCAAATTTATTTGCCCTGGTCTATTTCCCATTTCACTAAACTGTATTACCATCTGTCTTGTTATTTTAGAAACCTTTCTAAACATTCCATGTCACTAATTCCCACACCCCTTCTATCAGAAAATCCTGTAGTGTCTACCTCTTTAGTATTTCTCAGATGGGTATCCTGACCCATGTTTCCAGTACTCATCACTTTTTATCTGAATTGTTACATTAGCTTCCTAATCATTTTTCATGGATACAATTTGTTCTGCCTCCAACCAACTCTATTCCTTCCCCTGCATATGCCTTTACGCTTTTATTCCAATGGCTCCTATAACTTACAAGATAAAATTCAAATGGATAGTTTAGTATACACTGTTCTTCATGATCTGCTCCCTGCAAACTTCCCTAATAAGCTACCATCCCCCAACCTACATTTGATTTATGTTTAGACAAAACTAGACTGCTTTTTATTCTCTGATACCAGCAAAATGCTTCTCCCTTCCATGCTTTTGTTCATGCTTCTCCCTCCTCCTAAAACTCATTTTTTGCCACTTTTGTTAACTCAAAGTTGCCTTGAGATTGTTCAAACTATCTGTTCCTATAAACCTCTTGAGAAAAGCAAGGACTTTCAATTCAACAGATACTTATTTACAATATATTTTGCATTGGGCAGTATTATAGATATTGTGAACACAGCAGTGGGTGAAACAGAGGCCAGTGGAATCTGAGTCTTACCAGGAAGAGACAAGTTATAAAACAAATATTACAGTATATTAGGGGTGATACTTGCTATGGAAAGAAAATAAAGCAGAGAATAGAATGGGGAGGAAGAGAATTTAGTGGTGGAGAGTGGTTCTGGATGGCCTTATTTAGAAGATGAATTTCAGCAGAGACCCAAAAGAAATGAAGGGGTAAAACATACAGATAGCTACAGATGAATGTTCCTGGCAGATGCAAGAGTAAGTGCAAAGGCCTTAAGATGGGGGCATACCTGGTGTGTTCAAGGAACAGCAAACAGGCCACTGTGTCTATAGTAGGAGTGATGAGGGGGGTCGGGGCAGCAGAAAACTGAGAGGGAATAGAGGTGGGAAGGTCGTGTTGACTTTTGTTGACCAGTGAAAGGCACAGTTCTGTCCATAACAGCATGCACATTGAAAATTCACCTGACAGAAGTTGATGCTGAATTACATATGGGTGTGGAAGAAAGGTAGAAGTTGAAGGTGTTGCTAGATTTTAGCTAGACTAAGTAGACTATTATTGGTGGCATTTACTGCAGTGGTAAACATTTGGGTTTGAGGAGCAGGTTTGGCAGGAAATATTAGAAGTTCAGTTTTGGATACATTGAGTGTGACATGCCTATTAAACATTCATATGAATATGCTGAGTAGACAGTTGGATTTTGGAGTTTAGGGTAGCAGTCCAGGTTGGAAATGTGCATTTGGGACTGTCATTTAACAGGTGGTACTTGAAATCTATAAATTTAATGAGATTCCCAAATAACAATTGAATCCTACAGCTCCTCAACATTCAGAGTTGTAGAAGATGAAGAATAACTTGCCAAGTCGAGAAACAGTGAGAAAGACAGGAGGAACAGGGGTCAAGAAAGGTGTAAAACCACTAGAGGATGGTGTCCTGGTATACAAATGCTGCTGATGAATCATGTAAGATGAAAAACAAGACTTTATCATTGAATTTAGGGAAACAGGTTATTGACGACTTTGATAAGGACTGTTTCCTGAAGCAATATGAATAAGAGATTGATTAGAGTATAGCATGGGGAAAGAGAAATTGGAGAGTGCAAATTATAACTCATTTCAGAAATTTTACTATAAATGAACACAGAAACTGGACAGTGGCTGGATGGGTAAAGGTCAAGATTATTTGCTCTTGATTATGATGAAAGAAATAACATGTTTCTCTATGAAGAATTTAAATGATTCAGCAGCAGAATTGAGGATGTGAGGGAGATCATGAAATATGCTGAAATAATGTTCTTGAGTAGGTACAAGGCACTGAGTTTAGAGGACAAGGAGCAGGATTTGCCTTGGATGGGAGCATGAAGAGTTCATCCGAGTAAACAAGAGAAAGCAAAGGAGGTAGGTAAAGATTCAGGTAGGCGGGTAGATATGGAAGTGGGAACTTGAGCAATTCCCTTCTGGTTGTTCTTATTTTCTCAGTGAAATAGCGAGCAAGATCACCAGCAGTGAGTTAGTAGAATGGAGGTATTAAAAATGTTGAAATTCGAAGCTAGAGGAGAAAGTATAAGTTAGAAAAGTAGGAGAGAGAATGGACTAGGGAAATGCAATAGAGTTACTTGGTGGTGCCAAGGATCCCTGTAAGCTTAATACTCATGGGTTTAAAATGGTATCAGTCAGAAGGGCTGGTATTATTTGCCACATTCAGTTTTATGCTACAAGCACAGAATGGGTAGGAGGTTTAATTTAATCAAGGCTGGATTTTTACCATACAAGTTTGAGGAAGAAGAAGAGAGGAGCTGAAACTATATATTTGATATTGTATGCTTCGGGCCCAGACTAATGCCTGGCAAAATGGCAGCTTTGTTAAAAAGCAGCCTAGTTAACAGCAAATAAGCTACTGAGTGCCTATTAGAAACTTAGAGTGCTAATAACATGCTTATAACCATACACATTATTAAATGATAACCAATATTTATACAGCATGTACTCTATCAGGGATGTCCAATCTTTTGGCTTCCCCGGGCCACACTGGAAGAATAATTGTCTCGGGCCACACATAAAATACACTAACACTAAGAATAGCTTATGAACTGAAAAAAAAAAAAAAATCACAAAAAAAGTCTCAAAATGTTTTAAGAAAGTTTACATATTTGTGTTGGGCCACATTCAAAGCCACCCTGGGCCGCATGAGGACTGCAGGCTGTGGGTTTGACAACCTTGTATTATATGTAAAACAATGACTAGATACATTACAAATATCATCTCTTAATCATCACCAAATAAGAACAAAAAAAAAAAAAAGAAGGAAAGAAAAAGGAAATGAAGAAAAAACCTTAGTGGTAGTTTCTCATTTTACACATGAGGGAACTGAGGTTTAAAGACATATGCCCAACATCACACAGCTGATAAATGAAGATGAAGAATTACACCCAGACAGTCTAGAATTTATTATTGTAACCATAGTAACATAATGCTTCCACACTGTAGTAGATGGTGGATATTCAGTAAATCATAGCCATTATTATTAATAATAATGGTTCATAATTATATGACTATAATTTATATATTATGTATTCATGCATATGCTGTCTTAAATTTTTTTCATTGCTTTCTATGACTTATGCACCATGCTAGGCACTGATGATTCAATGGCAATTGAGATGGAGCCTCTGCTAGTGAAATGCACTTTTTTACCTCTTCATGTAGATATGTAACTTTCAAGATGGCAGGCTGCATTTGCCTGGTGTATATTAAGTTCTATAAAGATGTTTTGACTTGATTGTATTATAAATTATTTTCTAGAAAAGCAATATGATGTATAATCTAAGGTCTGTGAGTAGGACTTTGTTTTCCTTAATGCCAGTTACTAATTGTATGAATGGAACAAGTTGCTTAACTTCCATATTACTTATAACATTGTGATGTAATATCTGCCTTAACTAATATGAGTGTTAAAAAGGTCAAATGAGATAATGTATGGGAAAATACCTGATAAATTATCATTTGAAACTAATTTAAATGATTACTTTAAACCCTGCAAAAAGGTTCCACAAGTAGACTGAGGATATCGACTTTCTTATCCTTAATGTACCTGAGGATTTTAAGGTAGAGGATTTTATCTTGGAAGGGCAGTATCTTACTTGTCACTGTCATTACATTTTTATTAAGAGTCCCCAGCTGGGAGCGGTGGCTGATGCCTGTAATCCCAGCGCTTTGGGAGGCCAAGGTGGGTAGATCACCTGAGATCAGGAGGTCGAGACCAGCCTGACCAACACAGTGAAATTCCATCTCTATTAAAAATACAAAAAAGTTAGCCAGGCATGGTGGCATATGCCTGTAATCCCAGCTACTCGAGAGGCTGAGGCAGGAGAATTGCTTGAACCCAGGAGGCGGAGGTTGCAGTGAGGCAAGATTGCACCATTGCACTCCAGCCTGGGCAGTAAAAGTGAAACTTCGTCTCAAAAAAAAAAAACCAAAAAAGTCCTCATGGTGCATGTCATTGCAGAAGTATGTAGCTAACTGTTTTTAAAAAAGTAAGCAATTTTTGCACAATGCCAGGTCCTTCTCTGTACCCTGGCTACCATATATACCAACATATTGTTAGACATTCATAAGCAAATGGAGGCTTTTTGATTCTAAAATGTAGATTGAGCACTTACTTTTAATTTGCATGGAAGTGAGATCAATTCTTATTTTGCTGAAAACAGTGTATCCAGCAGCTAGGTGTCCATTGTCACATTCGCAGTCTTCCCTCCTACTCCCATTAAAAGGACATTGATACGGATTTTTTAGTCTGTAACAACATTGGAATATTTTAGTATTAGATGTGGTTACTAGGCCATAATGTAGATTATCTTTGGGAATAGAAAAATAAAACACACTCCTGCTCTTCGATATTATAATGTCAACAAGTTAAGAAAGAAGTAAAAATCACTTTAGGTGAAACTACAAAATTCTCAATGAAACATCTAAGAAGAGTTTGTAGAAAAATAATTCAACTGCAATTCTTCTAGCTTTTATTACTGGAATTAGTTTGATTTTATGAAAATGCACATAGTTCTTAAATTCTTCCCTTCTCCATGTCTGACTTCTCAGCCACAGTATTCTTAGTCAATCTCTCTGTCAATAGTCAATATTAACAGTACAGCTTAATATTCAAGCCTTTATTTCTGAACAGGCATTAACAACATCTGGTTTAGGTCCTAACATGTCTACCTGCTCCTACATTATTTGTCTCACATGTAAGCTATTCAAGTATCACTCTGAAGGCTAGAAGTTCCAATTCTCTTGGAAGATCATGAAAATGCTCAGATAGACCAACACACATCTCATACCTAAAGCCATACACTTCAGAAAAGTTTTCTTCACCTTGGACCAGTGTCAAATATTCCTTAGGGTTCTCCAAGTGCATGTCTGCACAATGAATCTAAAGAAAAAATGTAAACATCTAGAAAAACTTTTTCCAAAGTCAATGATCAACGTTAAAATAAAATAGGAACTGTTTTCATAATACCTTTATTATTCTTCCCTTAATGTTAAGGTAATAGTCACCATCCTTTCTAATGTGGTTTTTCACTTGAATTTCTTCGCAGGTGGTAAATGATTTACCTTCAAAGACAAATTAACACAACTTAACACAGAGCAAATTACAAACACAGCATGAACCTAATCATAGAAATATTGCTACACTCTGAATATCTGACGCTTTGTTTTGTGGAGTGTGCAACTATTACAGATATTTATTTTAACTGAAACTTATTAGAAACCCTTAGGTATTAGGTAGAGTTTTGAAGTCTACTACTTACAGTCATTGGCATAGCATTTCTTTTGAGCACCTGGTTTTAAATGGTTTAAACATAAGTCACTGGACAAACCATGTTTGGTAACGCATTTCACTTGTCTCTTCATTATCCCAATTCCACAAGTCACTGAGCACTGCGAACAGAGTAAAATTTGAAGGTAAACTATATTATGAATCATAAGGCCAGAAAATCCAAGTCTCGTTTTCTTAGACCAGGTATTTCTGTAGCACACTGAGGGTCAGTAGTGGCTAGATCCACAGAAGACACAAAACTATGCTGTTGGCTGGAGAGTCCCAGGTGGGAAAAATCCTTAGGCATGAGCCTGAATCTATTATGTCTCAGTTACTGGCTTCTTCTCATTCATTTTGTGCAGTTAGCAACGATACATTGTAAATACTTACTAAACATTAGTCAATGATGGTAATTAAGACTAAGTGATATTTACTTACTTTCTATCAATTCAATTGGAAACAGAATATGATATAAATAACTTTTATTACTCATATGTCATATTTATTTACTTCTTCACTTAACCAATACATATTTCTTAAGCACTTACTCAAAGTGCAAGCCACTGTGCTAAGTCCTCTAAGGAACAGAAATAAGTATGAGTTATGGTCTCTGCTTTAAGCAAGTTATAGCAAGCATCAAACAAGAGATAAGATATTTATATAAATAACTGATAAAGTGGTTTTTAGACAATAGTGGTCTGAAGCAACTCTGAGGATCTAATTAGACATACAGATTACCAGATTTCCCACACCTAGAAAGTCTTATTCAGAAGTTTTAAAATTCATAATTATACACCGACCTTGCTCCATTTTCCAACTTTCCAAGTGGCCAAATGCAAACAGCTGTTAATGCATTTGTAAACCTGAGAGGAAGGCACCACAGGGCATTCTTGATAGACTATAGGCCGAAGTCGATGGAGCTTATGTTTCTTAGTAGATGGGATCCCGGTGCAATATGTAATCCTTTGTCTGTAACTAAATCCACAGTTGTTTGCACACTGAAAAATACATAATTAAAAGAGAAGAAAATGTCATTAACTTTAGCCAGGGCTTAATATTTGTCAGATGCTTAATATACATTATGCTGTGTCATTTCCAAAATAATCCTATTTAATTAGTTTCATTTACAGATGAGCAAGCATAGGTTCAGACATGAGACAAGTTTCCCAGAGTTGTACCAACAAATGAAAGAAACTCACATTCAGGCTAGATTTTCTGCCTGTAGTGCCCGTGTGTGTGTGTGTGTGTGTGTGCGTTTTAATTACATTACCATCTTAACTGTATGAAACTGTATCTCCCAATAGGCACAGCTTTGGAGGAATAAAACATATTGAGGGTCCTTACTGGAAATAAAGGGTGTCTATTAGCCTTAGATCACTGGTAACAATGTATAAGTTAGCACACATGTATCTTCATAGATCTAATGTAAAGTCTAATAACATTTGACTAAAATAGATAAGTGATTTATGTGTAAATTAAAGCCCCAATCCAAAAATGGGCAAATAGATTTCTGCTTTTAGCAAAAGCGGAGTAACAAGGAATAGATTTACCTTATAACTTAAAACAACCAAATCATCTGGACAAAATATGTAAAACAACGGCTTTTAGGAAACTCAACCTTAGATAATAAAGAATAGCAATCCATGACAGATAAGAAACAAAGTGACACTATAAAATCATTCCAGCCTACTGCTTTGAAAAACTTTCCAGAGGGGGTGGAGCAAGATGGCCAAATAGGAACAGCTCCAGTCTCCAACTGCAACGGCCACGGCGCAAGCGACACGAGGAGACCGGTCGTATTTCTCACGTTCAAGGCTAGGGGGGCAGGTCGGACGTTAGGGTAGTGGCGGACAATCACGTGCTGGTAGCTGCTGCAACCCGAACCACGCTGTAGAGCTGAAGCAGGACGGATCGGCTTGCCTCCCTGGAAGCGCGCGAAGGGAGGGAAGGAATCCCTTATCGTAGCAGGGAACTGAGACACAAAGACAACCTGGAAAAGTCAGGGTACACTTCCACCCAAATACTGGCACTGTTAAGCAAATGCGGCCACACCAGGAGATTTATATCCAAACCTGAGCCGCCGAGGGTCCCACGCCTCATGGAGCCTTCCTCATTGCTAGCACAGCAGTCTGTGATCTAACCAACGCAAGGCCAGCATGGAGGCTGGGGAAGGGGCACCCGCCATTGGTGGCTTAAGTACGGTAGAACCGACGCCACGAAAGCGCTGAAGCCAACGTGGGGGAGCTCACAGCGCTCAGGGAAACGCGCGGCGGTCTGTAGCGGCCAGACGGACAGGCACGGACTAACAAGTACACGGGAAAGCGCGCAGCAGAAACCCTCTGCAGACGCAACCGACTCTGTGCTGACGCTTTGGAAGAGAGCAGTGGATCTCCCAACACGACGGTTGAGATCGGA